GGAGGACAAGCTCTGACCGTTCGAGGGGCCGATCCATTCCCTGAAGGTCCAGCAGCACCGGGGACCACAGGGAAGAGTGACAAGAAGAACCACTGCTCTGTGAACAGGGGTTCAGGGCTCTGCTGAAGAGCTGGGGGCCCCCGGCCCTGCTGCTCTGGGTGTGTGCAGCCAGCAGATCCTGACCAGCCCCAGGGCTAGTGTCTCCAGAGGTGAAGGCTCCACACAGTCCAGACCCCCACCCTCTGTTCACTGCCGACGCCTCAGAGCGCTGCTGTATCTCACTTACAGGTGTGAGACGGATCTGAGTCTTGCACTCCTGTGAGTGTCATGCAGACAGTAGAAAGCAAAGTGGTGGGACTGAGGTGAAGATGGTTTTGGTTTTAAAGATGTATTTATTTATGCATACAAGTACTGAGTTATAGGCCAGAGGTGCGGCGGGTGAGAGGATTCACCAGAGACAGAGTGGGGACAGGAGGATCCACTGAAACACACTGCTGAGGGGAGCAGCAGGTGGGACAGGAGAGGTCTGCTGTGCCCTGAGGGTCACCTCCCTTGCCAGGGATCGAACTCGTGCTGTAGTGGCTGCAACTGGCTTCCTAGTGCTGAGATTTAATCCCTTGCACCACCAGGGACGGCCCCTCTTTTTGTTTTTAAAGAGAAACCACTTAAGACATAGCCTCAAAGACAGATGTGGCCAAGTCGTCACCAAGGTAGAGGTGTGAGCCCAGCTCTGTCCTGGCCCTCTGTTGCAACCCTAATGTTCTTTGGGCACCGGTCACCCCCTTCCCTAGGACGGGGCTGGGTGGGCATCTCCAGGACAGCTGAAGACCATTTCTGCATCCAGGGTGTTTCAGTAGCTCAGCCCCGGCAGGGCCACTCTGGTCTGAAAGCCAGCTGGAGAGTTTTAAACAATGGCAGGGGTGTGGGTAGTGGGGGAGGCTTATGAATTAAAAATAGATGCTAGTAATCGCCAGGGAGTTTGCTGAGAGCATGTGGGGCTGTGTTTACTAGAGAGAGAAGAATACCTTCTATTCACACCCTAAGACTTGGGTGGAACCACGGCAGCTTCTCCACCAACCAATGGCGTCTTGGCCTGTTGGCAGTCAGCTGACAGCAGGGCTCATGATGGCTACAAGGCCCCCTCCACAGGACACGGACGACCCCCTCTCCTGGGGATCCCTGGGCCACACCCACCCCAGAGGGGCAGCTCCAGGTTCAGGAAACCTGGAGATAAAGCCACTATCTGGCCCGGGTGAGCCCGCACCCCGTGAGCATGGCATAAAGAGGGGCCTAGCAGGCTTGGTGACCCCGGATCTCGGCTGGATCTTGCAGACGTGGTGAAGACATGGATCTAGTCTCTTCTCTCCCACCAACTTGCTGGGCATCCTCGGCGAGCCATCTCTAGCTTGCTCCAGGAGGCCTCAGTCCATAGAGCTGAGCTGGTGAAGTGGAGGTGATACCAGCTCTGGCAACTCCACAGAGATGTTACGAAGGTGGACAGGTAATGTGTGTGACAGGCTTGGGCAGTTGCAAGTTCCAAAGCAGTCGTAGAACAATCATTTCTTCTATTACTTTGTGAACCCAGGGGTCGGGAACTGTCCCCTCAGTCAGCTCACGCAAGGATGTCAGGTCTGGCCTTCCACTAGCAGCAAGGAGAGACCCCACCCTGTCCCCCGACATCTTGGAGGCAGCATGAAGGCCAGACACAAGCCACATGGAGAAGGCCCAACAGGCTACAGCTGGTCTCCAAGTGCCCCAGGCCCTGAGTCCCCACTCAGCAAACGTCAGCCATGCTTCTCCCACTTGTGGGGGCCCCTTGACCTCCTCTCAGGCAGCAGGAGAAAAGTCTCATGTCTCCCTCTTCCTAAAACAGCTGTATGCCAGAGCCCCTGCCTCGACGGGACTGTTCTAATTCGAATTTTGCAGTGAGAGCTGGACCTGGGTGCTTGTTCATTAACAGCTGACCACCCTGTACATTCTGAGGGACCTCTGGGTTGAGATTCCGAAGCCAGGCTGCCTTTTTTTTTTTTTTTAAAGATTTATTTATTTATTCATACAGAACTGGGGTATAGGCAGAGATGCGGAGGGTGAGAGGACTTACCAGGTACAGAGCGGGGAACAGAACAGGCAGATCGATGAAGCACACTGCTGAGGGGAGCAGCGGGCGGGTCAGGAGAGGTCTGCCAAGCCATGTGGTCACCTCCGGGGCAGGCGGGGATAGAACTCATACGGAAGTGGCGTTAGCCCCTCAGTGCTGCACTTTAACCCGCTGCGCCACCAGGGAGGGCACAGGCTGCCTTTTAAGCCGATGTGTCCAGAACTTCCTCTCAGAACAGTTCTCTCCCCAGCTGGGGCTGTGCTGGCAAGCAGCCCACCGCCATCGTCCCAAGCACTATCCACACACACTGACGACTCCCGAATAAACGTGTGGCTCTCCCCTGGGACTCCAGACTCGGGCGTCTGAGTGCTGCTGTGGCATCTCCATGTGGGGGGTTTAATGGCCATCTCAGATGCGAGCGTCCAAGACACAGCCCTCCCCCCCCCAGACTGTTTCATTGGCCGTCTTCCCTAGTTCAGTTAAGGCCAATTGCTTTTTTCACCTCACTTGAAAAGAAAATCAAGAGCCCTTTTCCGGACCTACTAGATTCATGTTTATTTTTCTTTCTTTCTTTTTTTTTTTAGAGATTTATTTATGCATACAAGAGCTGGAGTGCAGGCCAGAGGGACAGGGGATGAGGTGAGAGGATTCACCAGAGACAGAATGGGGAGCAGAATGGGTGGATCGACTGAATACACTACTGAGGGGAGCAGCAGGCAAAACAGGAGAGATCTGCTGCCCCATGTGGGTCAGTTCCCTGGCCAGGGATCGAACTCCTGCCACAGTGGCTGCTGATAGTTTCAAAGTGCTGACTTAACCCCTTGTGCCACCAACAAGGCTCTACACCCATGTTTAAAAGAACGATAAAAACCAGAATATCTCAACCCAAAACCCATGGTCCTTTCTCCTCCCCACACAAAATCGCGCTCCCCTACATTGTCCCCATTCTCACTGTACCGGAACTGGTTTCTTTCTTTTTAAAGATTTATTTATTTATGTATACAGAACTGGTGTACAGACCAGAGACGCTGAGAGGATTCACCAGAAACAGAATGGGGAGCAGAACAGGCGGACTGACAAAGTACACTGCTGAGGGGAGCAGCGGGCGGGTCAGGAGAGGTCTGCCGCGCCGTGTGGGCCGGGGATCGAACGCACACTGAGGTGACTGTGGCTTACTTGCAGTGCTGCGTCCTAACCCGTTGCGCCACCAGGGAGGGCCCCTACTGGAACTGGTTTCTTGCCACAGATACCAATGACCTCGCTGCTTGAACCTGCTGGCACTCAGACCCCAATCCAGATGCAGTCTGTCCCCACCACTGTCAAGAGCACCTCCCTCTGCTTGCCACCTCTCTGTACAGCCAGCTGCTCTGTCCCTAGCATGTCCATGTGTCCTTGGACTCCTCACTCCACACACACCCTTCAAGGTACACGTGGCTTCAAACTCAGCGTGCCTCCGTGAGTGTTAGCCAGGGCCCAGGCCTCTCCCCTCACTTGAGCTGGACAGCTCCCAGAGGCACCTGCGACTCTCACGACTCTCACGTCCCAGATCCGACACTTCACTTTCCCCCCCAGATATGCTCCATCCCAAACATCCTCCCAAGGTGCCTCAAGTAGAGAGCACCCCCTCCTCCGTATTGCTGTTAAGCCAGCAACCCCAGTCGTCCTTGCTCCTTCCCTTCCAGTCTCCCTTCCCAGGGTCCTCTGCACCTGCCTCTCCCTTTCCACCCTCACTGCTGCCACTTACCTCCTGTATTATCTCCAGAAATGGCTTCCCAGCCCCTTCCCCATCTGCTGTCTACACAATGCCCCAAAAGGACCTCTTCCTGCTAGTTCCCTACCCCCCTCTAATGGTTTCACACTACCTGAGGGCTGTCCTGGGGCTACATGTCAGACCCTCCATTGGCAAGGAGCCCCTCATAGCCCCTGTACCCTAGAACTGGGGTACAGGCCAGAGACACTGAGAGTATTCACCAGAAACAGAGTGGGGAGCAGAACAGGCAGATGATGAAGCACACTGCTGAGGGGAGCAGCGGGTGGGTCAGGAGAGGTCTGCCACACCATGTGGGTCAGCGCCAGACCAGGGATCGAACTCACATGTGGGTCAACTTGACTGCAGCTTGCTTGCAGTGCTGCGTCCTAACCTGTTGCACCACCAGGGAGGGCCCCTACTGGAACTGGTTTCTTGCCAGTGACCTCGCTGCTTGAACCTTTGCCTGCTTGACCTTCGCCTGCCCCTCCCCCAGAAGGAGCTAAACTACAGCTCCTGTCTCCCCACAAGCTCACCAGGCTTTAAGGCCCTGTTCACGGTCTCCCTCTGTGAGGGGATGAGGGGAGCCCTCTCCACTTGCTCATCCTGACAGCACCTAAGTTTCAAGACCAACTACGCCACCACGAAGGGCTAAATGCACACAGTACCAAACCAGATTTCCCCCTTCACCCAATGCCCGCCAGGCTACCTCCGGATTTCCTTTGGGGTGACCATACCAGAGCCCAACTCTCTGCCATGAACTCATTTACTCCTAAACAACTCTGGTATCACAGTCCCCTTTTCAACTGGGGAAAGTGAGGCCAAAGCGGTGAATGCCGGGTAAGGCCGGACAGCAGCAGAACCAGGGTCTGACTAGTCTGTGTACTCACTGCCCAGAGGCACCTGCGAGCAACTTCACTTCAGGAAAACAAACCAAAGTGAACACCCACCTGAGCAAAATATAATTAGGAAAAGCAGATCCCTATCCCAACTGAAGCCTGCCCGTGGGCACCACCTCTGACTCCCTCAACCAGGCGGGGGCCAGGGCCTCCTTACCCACTAGGCAGGGCCCTGGCCCAGCTCCCCAGGCCCGGCAACAGATGGCCCTTGGCTGGCACGGCTCCCAGCCCGCAGCCGCCCCCTGCTCCACCTCACCTTGTCACCGACGCCCTCGGCCTCCTCCGCCAAGAGGTAAACGTTGCCTCCTTCAGCCAGCAGCTGGGCTGTGTCGGTCGTGGACGAGGAGCGTGGACGGCACTGGTGCTGGTGCAGGATGGCGGCCAGGCTGCTGTCCTGGGGGGCCTTGCGGAGCAGGTGGGGACTGCCACGCTGGGGCTCCAGGGAGCTGCTCTTGGTGCGCCGGCTGCCGCCAGCGCTGCTGTGCAGGCTGGCGCCCCGCTTGATGGAGGGCCGGGCGCGGATTTGCTGCAGCACGCGGTTGAAGGCGGTGGGCCGGGCCGGCAGGTCGTGCAGCGACACGGCGTAGGAGACGCGGTGCATCTCCGGCGAGCGCTCCTTCTCGTCCGCGGAGTCGTGGTCCGACATGCCCTGCTGATGGGGCTGCTGGGGGTCCTGCGACGCCTGGTGCTCCCGCTCCCGCGACCTGCGGCGGCTGTGGAACAGGTGCTTCAGGCCGTGGCCAAACATGGAGCCCTCTGACAGCTGCTGGATTTTCTTAAAGGGCAGAGAAAAAGAGCCCTGGTGAGTGGACAGTTCTGGAAGGATGAGCTGGTTGGGGGCAGAGGGGCGCAGCCTGTGCGGGAGAACAGTGCAAGGACTCCAGTCATTGGAATTTGGAAGACGCCAGCGATGGCCACTCATAGGGAAAGGTCGCCCTGCAGAAAGGGGGCCACCCAGACACACTTTCATCCCCAAAGAAATGCCGCCCCAGGGCTCCCCCCAGCACATGCATGTGGGGTCACCCATCATGGCATCCCTGGAGCTCTGGCCTGACAGGCTGCACAGGCTCCATCCAGGACCAGCATCTGCTTTCAAAGCCGCCTCCCTGCCATATTCCGTCCCGCGGGGCATCCCGTTATAGTCTGCACTGCTATCTGCCTATCCAACATCTACTCCCTCCCCCCCCTTTTTATTATTTATTTATGCATACAGAACTGGGGCACAGACCAGAGGTGCGGGGGCAGTGAGAGGATTCACCAGAGACAGAGAGGGGAGCAAACAGGCAGATTGACAAAGTGCACGGCTGAGGGGAGCAGCAGGCGGGCCAGGAGAGGTCTGCGCGCCACGTGGGTCACTCCCTGGCTGGGGATCACTCCCTGTGCTGAGTTGGCTGTGGCTAGCTTCACAGTGCTGTGCTTTAACCCTTGAGCCACCAGAGAGGGCCTCTTTATTTGGTTACCAACCAAACTGTGAGGTCTTAACCTGTTTGCTCAAACTTCCCATCTCATCAGACTC